ACGATATCACCGGTACCCCGACAACCAACTGAAGTCTACGCGTAGCTCACTGAAAATTGGATACAAGCGTTGGTTGGGGCAAGTAGTTACTTGTATATAGATTAATGCTCCGAAGAATTTCGACGCACAACGTTAGAGCATTTGTAGTTGTCGAAATATACTTTTGTCGTTCGCGTATGTCACTTCCATTAAGTCTAGCGAATTAAAAGCACTTCAAATATTGGCTTAACAGTAAATCAAGAGCATCCATCCGACAACGCTATGGAGATGGAGACACAAACAACGCCAACTCGCATTGCTCATTGATATTGTCAAATCGATTCAAAATTGGAGACACCAGCAGTACTTACCACTCGAATTCCTACACAGCTTACATTGAATACTGTTTAACGCTACAGTACTACTACTACAGTAAGTAGCATTCACCGTTGGTACGATTAACGTTGTACAACGTTGTATGCCTTCGTGTTTCGCGTTAACGCTAGGATTGTACTTATCGTTAGCAAGCAATTAGTCCCACACCCACTTATTCATGGGCGTTTTAGGTCAATACAGTAGTACCAAATTCCCTGGGTGAGTGGGCATTTGACCATTTGAGTGGGTGTGCCACCCACGCACTCGGGGAATTGCTCTCGGATGGATCACCAAAATAACGTTCTATTGTCCCCACCATGAGACTTCACTCGAACATGCTTGATCTCGCTTAGAGCGTACTACGGTTGTAGTCTTTAACGCAGTCTACGAAGGCTTTGTGTGAGTGAAATTCCATTCCAAGAGCAAGGCTCATGGTGGCGCTGTTTAATTGAAAGTGAATCCTTGATATGGAGTAACTGAGAGATTCTGTGCCAATCAATCTTGCTCCAACAATTTGTGGTTTTGTCCAAACATTGGATTTACAATGTAATATTTGAGAAGTGCGATAATCTTTGTTAACTGTAAGTGCGCTCACATTTTGGCGAAGGTTTCACATTATGGCGAAGGTTTGCTGATATACTCACATAATATACAGACACGACATTCAAAACGACAAATTTCGGGCATTTGGTTGGCCAACCGACAATTTCTCACGATGTGGTTGGTCAAGGAGAACTCTCGCCCAATGATTGGGCGGTGTAAGTGTCCAGGCGACAACATTGAGCAAACATTTAACATGTACAGCATTCTATTAGGCCCCTAAACCAGATAATAATGAAACAATTAAATACGCATATGTTTCGGCGATACATATACAATATTACAGTTTTATTGGCCAATTCACCAGACACATCAATCCGAGTTCACAACTGTGAAATTTGTGAGCAATGGCCAAATTTCCAAAACACCGTCCAAAATAGTCAGACAGTGCC